ATTATTTTTCGTCGCTCAAAATAAGCGTCACACTCGCGGAAGCCGGTACACTCGCCGAAACGCCATGCATTTACCGAGACTTTCAACCCAGGTAGGCCAATTATGGATCTTCGGATCCACATTATGTCATCAGCTCCACCGCGAACTATGTTAAAAACAAACACCGCTCCCGCCTCACAGATGACAGCTTACAGTCCTGCGTAAAGATGAAAGTGACTTCACTGTGTAATAAATAAATAAATACATAAATATTTATGCAGAATTTTGCAAATATTTATTTTTCATTTTTTTAGTAGCATAGTGCTTTTTTCCAATTTAAAATTCAGGTCAAGGCTCTGCTATGCTCCAAAAGCCCAAAGGCGATATAAGGCTGGCGGCTCACAACAGTTTTTCTTTGCTACATGGATCATTTTAGTTCAGCTAGGTGTCTTTCCTTTTTGTTATGTTTCTTTAAGTGTTCAAAATGTGTTCATTACATAAATAAAATGTAGTTTTCTCTGTAGCACTTCATGGATTTCATAAGCAACACACTTTAGTTGTTCACACAAAGCATAAAGGTAGAAAAAACAATATATACAGTGTTATCTTCATTTTAGATGCCACAAAGTATTTGCGGCTCCCAGTGTTTTCTTTTGCGTGGAAACTGGGTCCAAATGGCTCTTTGGGTGTTAAAGGTTGCTGACCCCTGGCTTAGAGCAATAGAAAGCAGTCTGTCAGTCATGAATGCAATTTCATTTTGCATATAAGACAATTTACTGACATGTCTGTGATATGCCATGTCTAATATATTCACTGATTCATGATGATGTAAAACAATTTATAGCTGAATAAGGATGATAGGCATGTCAATATAAACGTAAATAAAAAAATCTTCTGTAGTGAGACTACAGTCTGACCTGGGCATCATGGCCATGTTTATATAATTTAAGCCATTTGGTTCATAAATATTCTCAGCAAAAAGTTCTCAGATTGGTTTGTCTGACAAATGTCTTAAGCTATAGAATTTTATTCAGTGATCTTAAAAAAAAAAGGTCAGCTTTTCAACTTTTAACTTGGAATGCATTAAAATAATCTTTGTGCAAAAAGATACTGCACGATTGCCGGGTTTATGTCAGCTGGAATTTGGTGGAATACACTTTAAATGTATTTTGGAAAAAGCCTTCATGCACATGTTACGGTCTTTGTGCACGTGGCCTTTTTTTAAAGCAATCACTTCAGGTAAGCTAACAGCCCTGAGCTCAGTCTACAGTCTCAGGCCCATGTGACTCGCTGATTTGATTCAGAAAGCTATGTTGGAGTCATTTGAGCTCCCTAACGCAGCCTGAATCGGATCACAGCCCAGTTTTGCCTCTGCTGGACAACGCCCCAGGAGTTAGTCTTGTTGTACACAAACAAATATTAAAGAGAAATAAATGGGTGGAGAAACAGAACAAATATGTTGTGTAGGACACAAAATTATACGCCATGACCTCAGTAATGAACCTAAATGTCACCTCTATTAAACATCTGAGTGCTTTCTAAAACGATGTATTAAAGAGCACTATCTACCATTCAATATCTCCAGCATCATCAGAACATCATGTAATATACCATCAACAAAAAATCTTTTGTTCACCTTTCAGCAGCGACTACTGCTTTTTCATTTGATCATTCTGGCAGCTAAGGAGAAGGATTGCACTAGCATTGTGTTTTTGCACAGTAGACCTATGTTCCAGGAGTGCAGCGTGCTGAGGGAGATATGACTAATGGCAGAGGTTCATTAGAAACGACCCTGAATGGGTTTCAGGTTAGAGTTGCTTGAAGGCTCGACAGAAAAGCACTTAGTCACTGTTGTCTCTTGTTGGCTTTGGTCCTCCAGGTTCCGATGACCGGGACACAGACCTGTTCTTGTGCGACACCAACACATGCAAGTTTGATGGGGAATGTCTAAGAATCGGGAACATGGTGACATGCATTTGCGATTTCAAGGTAAGATGTGACGTTTCTGTTACTGTTTCATTGTGTCTTTTTACTACAACGTTTTTCCTTTTGGTGTTAAATGTCTCTCTGCTAACCCGCCCCTGTCTTTATTAAAAGTTCATTCATGGTATCTATAACAATAAATGTAAGGCGGAGGTTTGATTTAATTGTATTATTTATACATTTGAAGAATTGTAATAGTGTCTGCCTTTCCAGCTTTTCCAAAATGTTGCCAATATTTATGCTAACATACAGAATAGTTAGCACATCTGCTAACTAGCTTACTACATATTTCATGCTATATTTTTTTCAGGGATTGTGCCCATTAATTACCATATGTTGACACATGTTAGTTAACTTTCCACTTTTGTCCTTGTCCAGATGGTAGCCATTAAAACAGGCGCTAGTTTCAAGGTTATAGCATCGATGCTACAGTCACACAAGGGAAAACAGTGTTTATAGACTGTGGCACAAACAAAATAATTACAACTCTGTGCAATGAACTTTTAATCTCTTTGGATTTGAAATAGTTGATTTTAACACAAGGACCAGGTCTGCAACCACTTGTGGTTAGTTGCTGTGTAAGAGAGCAATAAAACAGCAGTAAGATAAATAAGATGAACCCAGTTATGGCAGTTATACGGAATGTGTTTGTGATGAAACAGCAATTAACTGTAGTAAATCAGCAAAAAATTACATATCTGCTGCCTTCTGTACATGAGGACACTCACATTAAAAAGGAATTCACAGTAAAAGCTTAGAGCTGGCCAAAACCCTGTGGCAGATTGGTGAATAACAATTTTGTCCCAAGTAGTTTGCTGTTCTATTTTGTTGTTTTGTTTTTCTAGCATGACTGAGACATTACCTGGCTGGTGCAATCTTTGTTAAATCTATGTTAATTTTGAGTATTCATTTTGTTACTGTGTGAATTTGTAGCACTTGAAGAAATGCTTCATTGGAACAAAATAAATAGTGTGCATGGTACACTATAATCCCTCAATCCAATTGCTGCATTTTATAAATGCACAAATGATCATTCTAAACATCTGATTAGTGTTATGTAAAATGATGATTACTAAGTGTCTGAAATCTCAGTTCAGTACAGCTGCAACAGTCGTGAAAACCAGGGCCCTTAGTCTAACCTCCTTTATTTTAATATATTCAACAGTCAAAGGCCAGGAGTGTGTGTGTTTTCTTGCTTTCAGCACAATAAATCTAAATGATTTGAGCATCAAATGCTGAAACTAATTAAAATTGCACTTGTATAAGTGTAAAAATGGCACGTATAAAGAAAAATAATAATGAAACACAGCAAAAAAAACACTTGTGTTATTGGAAATATACACCTATAATAACTTGAAAGTTAATCTGTGATGCGTCTGAAGAAAGAATTTAAAGATTTATAGAATCGATTGGATCAAAGTCCATTGTCTCTATTAGACGATATTAGGCCCAAGGGGAGGTGCTCGCATACCATGAGCCCAGTTTATAGCTTGCTCTGAAATTTGACATCGCTATCCTGGTATACTACACTCTCCACATTCATAAACAAGACTGTCACTGATGAGACCAAAGACTGAAAGGCCCTCGTTAATGGCATAAATCTAGGAAATTAGGCTGTTCTTGATAATGACTCATACTTAACTTTATGGCCAGACCTATAATAAAAAAGGAGCAAGCCAGTCAGCAGAGTATTGATTTTTGTATAACGTTTGCAAGCTTTGCCAATGAATATGCTATACAGAGCCCCTGATAATAGAAACCACTGGGATCTGAGGATGTGGCACGTGTTCTCATCTGTCGCTTTTATCAGAACGTCATCAGCGCGAGCAGGCACTAGGCAGGCTGACACTCGATTGGTCACCAGTTTTTATCTCAATTTCGTACTTCCCTGGGAGCAAACGTTAACAGAGGCCTGCAGATAAATGACATTACAGCTCCATTCCTCTTCAAGAGATCTCACACTGATACTGCTGTCGCTGTGCATTCAGGCGCTCTCTGTGCTCTTGGAAAAGAACAGGTCACACCACAATTTCTGCCTTAATACCATGAGTCAGAGGGCAACTTTCTATGCATCTTTGTTTTGTTTGTGTGGAGGAGTTCCTAATGTCAGTCTCTTTATTTCATCAGTCAACATAAACATGACCCCCCTAGCCTAGCAGGCGATGCCATGCCCCGAAATAATCAGTCACTACTAATCACTGTCAAATAAATGGATCCAAGATTTTTCTCCTGTTGGCAGTTTGTTCAAGCTTTCAGAGGGGAACGTTGCATAAATTCTCATCTTGGATGGATTTCCTTTGTTCCAGAAGAATCTATGTGTGCACACATTCGCACACAAAAACCCCAAGCAAGAGACATGCAAGGGACTGTGAAGAGGAAGAGAGTTTGATGTGGTGGAATCAATGGACACTATTCATTGCCAAGATGCATTAGATTTGCCTCACACTGACTCTTTAAAGAACCAAGACTTTCTCTCGCTAACCCAAGTCAAACTGCTACACAGCAGCGTGCGCTCTTGTACCTGAAAATGAGTTACGTCTTGTCTTTGCTAATGCAATGCCCTGACTAATCACATAAAGTTTGCCGGTAATTCATCTCACAGCAGCTGCCGGGCAAAGCTATTGTTGCCGGTTTGGTTTTGTTAATGTCAGGTCACAGTGCTGATTCCCAAAGGGATCGTCCAGTCTAAAAGTATGTGCGCTCACGGCGATGTGAAATACTTCAACTCAAACTGTCCACTAAAGGGTAACTGGAACAATTTATTGTTCTTAGTAATGGTTCTTTTTAACAGAAAAGTTGGGAGTTGCTGGAAAAATATCCAATAACTAGACACAAAATTTGCATATAGCTGTTCTCAGACTCTGAAAGATATAAGACATCATGGAAGCAAATAAAGGAGCTTTAAATATAGGCAGGAATGTCTGTTTTTTTTTTTGTTGCTTTGTTATGTTTGATTACTGGGCTTTTTTCCCCCCAAAAAATAATTTAATGAATTTTCATTTTATTTATTTATTTTATTGTAGTAATTCCAACAGGAAACCACACTTTTAATCTAACCTTTTCATCTATCCTAAACTGTCATGGCTAAAGATAAAAGATGGATGTGGCAGGTGATGCTGGAGTAGCCTACTGGGACCTTTGGGACTATTTCCCGTTTTAACTGTTAAGCAAATGAAATTAGATAAACATCAAGTTAATCTGCTCTAAAAGTAAGACTCATATTGCACCTTTTACAGCTTTGATATTGGAGCCTCTGGATGGATGCTATGACCTGAGGGAATCCCCCGCCTATATCACTAAAGTTGGTCTAGCACATAAAGGATTAGATCGGTCATTTTATCATTGATATTTTCTCTACAAAAGCTGGCAAGAGATTAGGAGTCTTTTAATTATTACTGAATCTCTCTCGTAAAACAAGAAATGCATCAGATAAACTCAAGTTTTGCATGTTAGGGCTATTTGTACAATTGAGTATAAGAAATGGCCAAAAATGGCATTAAAAATAAAAAATGCAGTCCTTGCAGTTAAAGGTTTTCATATATTTTTGAGCAAGTGATAACGAAATGTTCTGCTATGAATGAGGATCGTCAAGAAGTTAGTTAGCGAGGAGGACAGGACTGCCTGATAGAATACTGGGAAAATGTTTATGAACCACATTAACTGCACTTTCAAGTAGAAAAAAACACACAAACCCACAGAGAACATGATAAATGGATCCTGCATGAAATCCAGATGTTCATACGCTTCCCATGTTTACATTGTAGATTGGAAGAAATCTATCACGTAAATTCAAATAAGATTAAAGGCTATTGAGCCAAGTCATTCATATTTTTTACAGCATTTCACATACATAAAGTCAAAGATACAAGCAGAATTATTAAATGAATAATTGATTAAATCAATAGCCTGAAGGTATCCATGAAATTATACCTTCATCCTGACATTAATATCAATCAATACTGATGGATTTAATACTGGGGTGGAGGGTTTGTATAACTTAGTGTTGTTTAGGAGACTGATGAGAAACTAAAAGAAAAGTTTAAACTGAATTGTGCTGTCATTTATCCCGTTTTCTCCACCATAAAAATGGTTTGTAGCTTGAAGCTAGTGGCACATGATGCGTCTTAATGTATCAGCTCTTACATGTTCAATAGACTCTTAGAAAAATACAGGAATCAAATAAAGTGTTGTTGTTTTTTTTATATCTGTAATCAGATAAAGTTAGAACAAAGTGCTACAGTGTTTGGTAGGTTAGAATAAAATAGCTCAAAGAATAATGAGTTTTTCCCCACACGGTGTAATTAGTAGTATAAGTGTGCATAGCATACCTTCATGAGTCTCTTCCAAACACAATAGCAAGGTTTTTGGGTCAAGAATGAATGCAGTAATATTCTTCAGAGAAAGTTCAAAATCTGTCATAGCCTACAGCAGGAACAAATTCAGGAACAGTCATGCTCTTGTTCCTGCTGAAAACAGCGTTAACATTATAGCTGCAGCTCTGTAACACAAGCGAACACTACTTAGCTTACACTTTTTGCATTTTGTTTAATTTTCTGCTGGATTCATGCATTTAATCGACAAAAGGTAATGATGGCAAATAATTTTTAATGGCAGCGAAATACTGGTACTTAGGTGCAAATTAGTGCAACAGGTCAATCAATTAATTTAATTTGTGTGAAGGAGAGTGAGTGTTTTAGGTAGCAGAGGAAGCTTTATTTATCTGCAGTGTAATTACACAATGAATTTGTCTCTCACGTTATAATTTAATAAATGTTTTTTATCAAAGTCAGTGAAATTACCACTAAATGTTTTCAGTGGCTTAGTGTATTAAACAAAATAAGATGACACTTTAAAGGCAAATGTCCTTTCAAAAACATTGGCGACACCAACGTTATCAATTACTGCTTATTAAGCCTGTGTTTATTCAGGTAAGTGAATCAGTAGAAGAATTTGGGAACAAGTTAAAAATAAAAAATGCAAATGCTAGAAAATGTAATCATTTTTAC